GTACTACATTCAAATGCAGAGGGGAAAAGCAGGTGGAAAATATCAACTGTGGAAAGTGAGGGCTACCAGGATCCTGAAAGTGGAGCAGGGAGAGGCCCTGTAGCTGGGGTGGGTGGGATGGAGCCATGAGCATCTCATCTGGGGTGTGCGGAAAGGGGGAGGCACACACCCCAGGAGGGAATGGGAAGGTGCATGCCCCTGGATCTGCACACAGGGCGGGGTGGGGCGGGGCAGGCTGCAGCTGCCGGCTGGGCTGTTCCCACGGGGCTGGGATGCTGTGCTGGGCTGTTCCTGGTGGAGGCTGGGCGGTGGTGGCACTGGGAGCAGGGACTGGCGGGGCTACGGCAAATTTTTGGGTGGCCGCTCCCAGCAGCATAGGCCAGCCCCCTCTACTGGGGACACCCCAGCCCTAGGTGGCAGCTGCAGCGTGCCTTGCCCTGTGTGCAGATCCAGGGGCACATGCCCCCTATGCCCTCCTGGGGTGCATGCTTCCCCCTCCTTGTGCCCCTGGGCTGAGCTGCTCCTGGCTCCATCCCGCCCCATCCCGGCTGCAGGGCCTGCCCCTGCTCCAGCCCCAGTCCCTCCCTCACTGCTGCTGCAGCTGACCTGCATTTGGCCCACCCCGCCCAGTCTATGTGGCAGGGGTGGCTGCTGTTTCAGGCTGGGCTTTGTGCCTGATCTGATTTAAGATTATGTGTAGTTATGTATAGTTGGGAGAGGAATGGGAGCCAGAGCTGGGGGCAGTAGCCACACTGAAGCTAAAGCCTTCTCACTGCTTGCATAACAATTTTATTGACCATAATGTGAAATCCCTCCCAGTTATGCCACAGTTTTCCCTAGAGGAACAGAAAAATGACAATAATCCTTAATCCATCTGTGGCTCAACATCCAGTGCTGTTTCCTCTCTTGGCTGTTCCTTGGACAGTTTCTCAGAATATGGACCGTCTCTCTCTGCTTGTAGCCTGTTCCAGCATTGTGATCTATTGAAGAGTTTGCTCCTGTAACTCCATCCCATCTGCTACCAGTCGGAAGACCTGGCCAGCCCCACATGAAAGCTTGTCTTGCAGGATTTCAGAGCTAGGAAGAAGATGCAGCAGGCCCTGAGGAGTGCTGCCCGAGTGCCAGCATGCTGCCAAGTGGCTCGCATTTTGGGGGTGTTGGAAAGTGACTAGAAGAGCCAGGTCATGCTGTGCTGATAAAGAGGGACAAAACTATTTTTTCTGTTATGCAAAAAAAATGTTAGAAGCTTTAGAGTGGTGCAAATATATCTTGTAATACAGGTTGGCTTTTGCTTATTAGTGAAAGTGCAAATGTATGTAGTTTTTGATATGTTTTGGGGGTAGGAAATTGTCTTAATTTCCTGTCTTCAAGCCTAGATCCTGCAATGTGGTCCAAGCACGTGAATCAGTATAGAGTCTAAATGCAAGGAAGGTAGCTGTGGTTGGAGACACTATTAAAAGAAACCTTCGGTGTTTAGATATCGGTATTACTAATAACCTGTTTATATTCTCAAAGTAGGAAAAACTGAAATTCATTTTACTCTTATTTTGCATTTCTCTCAAGTGTAACTGTTAAAAGCTGGAGTGATTATTTTCACTTCCTTTTTACTTGAGTTCACAACATGTTTCTGTTTAATTTATGTGCTCTTAACTGCTATTCTCCCCTGCCCCAATCTTTTTATTTATTTATAATAGAACCTACATTTGGGGTTGAAAACCTCTTATCCAGAGTCACTGAAGTAAATGTGGATCTTTCTACTCTCCTGAGTAATGAGGTGTAGATCAGACCCTCAATTGCTTTTGTCATTCTTTAAGCATCACTAATAGGTGTATTGCTCTAGCCTAACCTTGTATTTCAATGATAAGTAATTTTTCTGTGTGCAGGTTTCCCTCACTTTATGTGGGTTCTGTATGTGTGAATTTGTTCTTATATGATGACCCTTTTTATACCAAAAATGTTGTTATATGCTAGGTAAATTCACTCTTATGTGATCAGTGTGAGGGAAGCCCACAGTCAGCTGCTTTGTGCAGTGCATTGTGGGAGTGACAGGCACCAAAATATAGTCTCCCGCGTGGAACTGTGTTCCTCGCTCATTGTCTGTGAGACATGTGTTTCTGTAGTTGCCACCTCCGTTATGATGGTGCCTTGTGCTTGTGTATACTGTCTGCTGTTGGTGAGTACCAAAATTGTCTTGTAAAAACGGGTCTGGGGCTCAGTATAGTCAAGGTCTTGGAACATATCCCTATTTGTTACATTGTTAAGTGGGTTCCCTTTATGCGAATTCGAGTTATGCGCCTTTTTCCAGAAACGCATGTACAACATAGTGAGGGAAACCTGTATAAAGGAATGCTTTAGGTTGGAAGCTTTACAAAATAAAAAGCTAATTTTGCCTTGAAGAAGCAGGGAGGCCTTTTCAATGCAGCAGGGTCACTGTTTGGCTAGATTACTGACAGCAGACAAATAGTCACGAGATGCACATGTTCACATCCGACTGCCAAAATCTGCATGGCGGGAGCTAAATCCGCAGCCCTGAAACTCCCACTTCAATGGATTCTTGGAGCAGTAAAAATCAAAGGAGTAGGTCTCTTGAGGGAATGTCTATAAGGGGATAAACAGCATGAATTATTTAACTGATTTGCCAGTTGATGGAAAAGGAAGCAGAGGCTGCTCTGGAGGCTCCTCAACCTTCCCTCTGCCCCTGTAACTAACTCCTTTCTGGTTTACTGGGGCTCCTCCTGGGTGCAGTCTTCTGCTCATCTAAATGCAGCTGCAGGCACAGGCTGTTCTCACTCATGTTAAATTATTGCATATTTTAGGCACAGAGCGATGGCTGATTCCTGTTAGTTTAGAATAAAGTAACAAATCTTTTATTGAGATTGTTGGGTTTCTTTAACTTCAGAGTACTTAGTTAAGAAAGCTGTGCATAAGAATATCAAAATTCCTTACAGTTTGTTTGGCTTTGTTTTCAAGTAGATACCACAAAAAGCCTAAAAGATGAAATTGAGTCTGTTTTGCTGGAGCGGATTATGGTTTTGGATGGAGGAATGGGAACCATGATCCAGCAGCACGCGCTGTTGGAAGAGGACTTCCGAGGGCAAGAATTTCAAGATCATCCCAAACCTCTAAAAGGCAACAATGATCTTCTGAGTATAACTCAGCCTGACATCATCTATAAAATTCACAAGGTATTAGATTATTTTTTCCTCTTTAAATCAAGAGATTCAGAAATCATGTATTCTTGAAAGTATTACTGTACTTTTGGGGTGTTTGACTAGTACTGATTGTCTCATTTAAATGAAAAAATAATAATTCTAAGGATGTATCACTTATATATTGTGAGCCAAAGAATTATCAGGTGACCTCACCTGTGGCAGGCCAGTAAAAAGCATCTTACTTATTCAAGAGGCTCCTTTGCTAGTGCTCTACAAATTGATGGATGGTATATATGGTCCAGTGTCTTCCTGTGTGGTTACTGCCTGCTGTCTGGTTTCTTGGGTCCTCTTTTGAAAAAAAACAAAAAAACAAACCATGGGCACTATGTTTCCCCTTATCCTGCCTTCTAGGACCTTCCTTGACATCTGTGAGTTGTCAAAGACAGTAACCAATAGTTGTTAAACCACTACGTTGTCCGAATTTTTCCAAATTTATAGGAGAACTTAATTTTCCCTAGCTGCAGTACTCGGATAGTGTAATAACTAATTGGTATTTGCATATGACCTCAAACCTGTTCATTGGGGCTTTTTATTTCTGATATTCTGTCATCTTTTAAGTATTTTAACTGTACCTTTTTTTCAGTATTTTAGTTTTATTTTAATGCTCAGTCTCTTAAGCCTTGTTTGGTAACATAACACTTTTTTTAGAGAATCAGGAACTTTCTAGTGCTGTGGAGAAGGTTAAGGAAAAAGGCTATTTCAAGCTGTTCCTATGAAATGGTCAGAGCTCTATCAGGTGAGCTGACTTGACACCAAACCCTGGAAATTCTCCATGTTGGGCTTCAGATTTCTTAATCTTTTTCAACCCATCTAGGTTGAAAGCTGGTGAAATTCACAAGCTTGGCATGATCTATAAAGATGTTGAGCTTCACAAAATACTTGGAGGATAACCTATTTATGGACAGTAACTTTAAAAATTCCCCTTTAGCTCGCGCTCTCTCCTTTTTAAGGCTTTGCTTGAAAAATGGAGTCCTTTAAATAGGCACTCCTTTTAAGTAGCTTTTACCTGTGCTTTGGTTGATGCTGTTTTTCAAAAGTCAAAGCTGATTTCCCCATTCGAGCAAATTATCATTTTAATACTGTTCTGGTATACAGTAATTTTAAGCACTTGAAAAAAATGAGCTTGAAATGCATAAGTCTTTAAATATAAAATAGTAGGCATGTATTTAAGAAATGCTCTTAAAGGAGGTTAAAGTGTACACTTTATTATACAATATGCATCTTCTGTAATAAAGTATGTTTGTCATTAATGAGGACACTCAGAATAGAAGGGAAAAAATATGTTTCTGTCTTAAACTCCCCCCCCCCCCCCCCC